GCAATGCGTTATACTGCTTACTATTTTTCAGTGTTTGGTGAAATTAAAACATATTTTAAAGTTTTTCAAGAAACCCTTTTTTATTTTGGAAGGCAACTTTAACAAGTTATATTATTTTTAAATTCGTATTCATACTCTGAGACCTGATTTAGTTAATAACTAAATAGGTAATTAAACTACATTCACAAATGGAAATCATGTTAAAACAACAAAATAAAAACTTTAACTACTAATACCATATTAATTCAAAATACTTCGAAATTTAAATTTATAAGAATAATAAGTATTATTATATAAATGCATCTAAATATATATTGTTATTTGTTGACCAGGACTTGAGCTGATAAGTAACAAAATTAAATTAAAACTTAAACTATTATTTATGAATAATAAAAATAAAATTACATTCATAATACGAATATTATTTTAAAGAAACAAACGGAATAAGAAAAAAAATTTTTTACACTCAGATTTAGATTTTTGTGATATCAAGTCGTGAAACTTATGACTCTTGTCGATTGAAATTTCTTCAAATTATATATACCTATATAATTGTTTTTAATCGTCGTTTCCTATTTTTATTTGTATTGACATTATTTTCTTTGCCCAGATCTCTCCTACACTTATATCAAAAACACAAATAAGTACTTGAAGTGTCGAGTTTAATTTTAAACTCCACTAGATAGCTATGATATAAGTTAAAGTTTTACACTAATTCGTCAGCATCTCAAATAAAATAAAAATGTAATTTTATTATTGCCAAAGTCAATATTAGCAATATAGCGCATATTGGAATTTTTTCATATCAAAGTATAAGTTTATGTTGAAAGGAAGTTTTGTTCTCAAGTATTTTAGCCTCACCAATATTAGAATATTATCACTTTAAGTAGTTCGTGCTTGTTGATGTATTTATAATTAAACAGGTATTATAAAAAGTTTAATAATGCTAATATTATGATGGCATAATGATAAAATATATTTATCATTGTAAATAACAGTTAAAACAACAATTTTTTATTCATTTCAAAAAATGTCCATGTTGATAAAGTAAGTACCTACGCCAAAATAAATTAAGAAAAGTTGAAAACTTAATTGGAATACAAAATGTATTATATATTTACACGAGTAGGCTTTTAAGAATATTCGAATTAGTCCAGAGCCTAAACTCTCTAAGTTCTAGTTGTTTTTTAAAAATGTGTTAATTGATTATGACTTAAATAACTTTCAATGTTTTTCTATACAATATACAATGATACTTAATGTAGATGATCTTAATAGTTTCCCGATCAAGAAATCTAAAAATTCATATTATGCTTAGGTACTTAATAGTATATCATAAAATATATATGAATTAAACACAAGTACACACAGAATATTTCGAACAGCTTACTTAAATCAATATTTATAGGCTTACAATCAAGTGATTACTTAAAATTTAATTTCAGGGAATTATTTGTAGTTATTAGCTGAATTACAGTACTTTAATATTGGTATACCACATACTTTGAATACGAAATTAGTTATAAATGTTAATAATATATTCATATCTTTTGTATGCAAGCCGAAAAAAACCATAGGATTATCTATATAGCCTGTATTTTAGGATATTCTTATTGTGCGTTGAGATGCAATACAACCAAGTTATCTTATAACAAGGAAAAAAAACATATTATTATTGTATCTAATAATGTTCTAGAAACATAATCCCATCGAAAGCCTCGATTTTACATCATTCGCGTATTATTTATTTTTATTTACTATTTTGAATTTCCATACACTTCACTAAATACCTTAAAATAACATACGTCATATTAAATATAAATACATACTCGTTTAATATGTGATATAATACACTCAACTAGGTATTATCTATTGTACATGCCCATTGCACAAATATAATAATTTATCACTTCATTGAAACTAAACACTAAACCATGGGATTATTATATGACTCGTATTATATAAATATAATAATTTCATTACGACAATAACAATTATATATATATGTATATATTTATTTGTACGTTGTACGTGGTAAATACAAAAACTATGAATATGCAACATTCAATCAGTATTTTAATATCAATAAAAATTAAAAACTAATAAATAGAGATTTCTTGAGGTCCAAATGACTTTGCATACAACTTTTACAAAACTCCGATATTAAAGTACCTAATTCGTATTGTGTTAAGTCTCGGTAAAGAAATTCATCAGTCAATAAGGGAAATTTCAATTGATTCTGCCTGCCGTTTAGAACAATTTGAATTTGAGAACAATAAATCAAATTACCATGCTATCTAATTGCTTATATCATGGTCGGTGTTCGCTTGAAACTTTGTAACAATTCAAATCAGAGTGAATAAGACTATAATCGTAAACAAAAGAAAAGGAAATAATGATGATTTAAGAGCATTGGGAACATATTAATAATTACTTACTACTCAATTTAGTATTATTATTTGAATTATTTAACAAGTATTTTCATTAAATACATTCACAACAAAGAATATTTTAGTCGCATGAATCTATAATTTCTATAACATAAATTCCAGTAACCTATAATGAGTCTTTCAATGAACAATGTAACATATAATTCAGTACCTAGAGACTAGAATTTCAATTTCAAAGAGTGCGATATAATTAAACATACAGTTTTAATAATTTTAAATAGTCCAACACACTGGTGCTTAATGTATAATTATAGCTTTAATTTAGTTTTTACTGGGTAATGCAAAACTAATAAGATGTTTTAGTAGCAATAGTTTCTAATAACTCGTATAAAATAATAAGAGACACAATTTTTAAACTTAAATAAATCAGAGCCTGAATTGCAGATTCACCCTTCATGATTGATTTTTACGAAAAACGAATGTGTGTGTAGCAGATAATATAACGAACTGGATCGTCTGGATCATTTTTATGATTGGATTGAGGATAATACACATCCATTGTATAACAACTTGTCACTCGAATATAATTTATTACAAGTATTGTAGTACAGTACCTATTTAAATTGTTTGTATTATGTACCCATACTGTTATTAATATTAGACAATATTTTTATTCAACGGTTACAAACAAATAGAACACAAATCAAATAACGATTTCAGTTTCTCTGTAATATTAAATATATATTTATTTTAGTTTACAAGGTAGCCAAAAATCCACTCAAAATATAAATCAAATATTTAGAATTAATCTTGACAAAGTCTTACAATACTTTTGAAGGGTTTTCTCAGATACATATTATCAAATTATTGTAATTAATCTTGTATTTAAGTGATATTAACTCATAATAGCCACCACAACTAGTAATAATTATTTCATATTATAAAATAATATATAAAAATATATTATGGCCATAAAATTGAAAGTTTGATGGTTAGTTTTTAAGTATTTCAAATTATTAAAAATATCCTTAGTACAAAAATTATGCTTGAAAATTGTTGAGGTATTTTTGGATAGAAACAAAGACACTTTTATTAAAATGTCAAAACTTAAAAGTAAAGACTAACAAATTTTATATAAAGAAATATCGAATAAAAAAACAAAGCAAAACAAATACATTCCTCTCTCTGCTCAAAATTAAAAAATATTTTCTTAACATAATATTATAGGTGCGCTCTATGAAAGTATACATTAACTGTACTCGGTAGTTTAGAAGCTTAAGGAAAAATGATCCTAGACAAATTTTTAATAAGTTTTGCATAAGCTATGAAGAAATATGTGAAATATTGTTTATTATAAGCTTAAAATTTTTAAGTTCGAATTGTATCATATAAAAACTAAAATTAATAAATCTTAGGTATACAATTATCAATAATGGAACTGTCTAGGGTTTTCAAATGAATTAAGATTATAACTATTACTTTTTAATTATTCGATTTCTCGTTCAAAATAAATGAGTTGCAGATTTCAGAGTTTTTTGGAAATTTTTCTTGGTTTAAATCGAGTAAATAAATGTGATATTTCAAATAAAATTGTAAAATTATAATAAACACCGGTTACTATTAAAAATCATGTATCAATTCAAAGTGTTTTAAACTAAAAATTACTATTTTGAATTTAAAAGTTGAACATTTTGATGTCTTGTAATCATAAAATCACTTAATTCTGTTCAATTATGATATTTTTTAATCTATTTAATGGTATAACCTATTATTTCAAAGGCGATTACCTTTATTAATATTATTATTCTTAGTACACAACTATAAATTGTATTTGAGTAAACAAATATCGTGTTTAAATAAAGTTTAAAATGTATAAACAAATATCTAAGCGTAGTTTTTAAGTTCAAATTAGTATAGGTAAATAAACACGCTATAATACTGCATAATATAGTAAGAATACCATTGTTGAAACTAAATAATGTGCAAATATTTATTTGCAAATTATTAGGTAGAATACAGAATGTTAAATTTTGTGTAAACTTAAATATTTATTTGAAATCCTTATGAAAACTTTTAAATATATTAAACATTTTATAAACTTTTGTTGAGTTAAATATATTTTTTTTATATATCAACGCCAATATATAATAATATCATAAACACTGAACTTTTACGATGATTTAAATACACTTATTTTTTAGTCGAAACCCAAATATTAACAAACCGCTTCATGTATATGTTAAAGTAATGATAAAATAAATATAAAAATGCTATACACATTTTGAAGTATCCATATATTACCGTAGTAGCTAGTTTATTGGGTTTAAATCCCATTATTTTGTCAGAATTTCAAAAATCTACAAACTCGTCATAATAATATGATAAAATAAAACGAAACAAAAAAAATTGTCGTCACTCGGCAAAAATTCTAACTGGATGACGGTAATTTTATTCTGTTATAACACATCATCATAATATATTGAGATTTATAAATATAATAAAATGCAACATTATATTTATTATTTATTCACAATATTATTATTATTGATTACTTTAATATTATAATATGAAAATTGCACGGATATTACATTATCATTATATACCACCTACCTATGATAAATTACAAACACGATACAGGAAGAAGACGGCGGCGTGACGGTGTCAACGGAGGTGATGGCGGTGGCGATGACTTGTGCGATCTGAGGACTTGTTGCTGCGCCCCGAAGACGGCGAAGACACGAACTTGTTGCGGCGCAGATAAACACGAATAATAACTCGAAAATAAAATGAAAATGTCTATATATATATATATATATATATAAGTACGCGTCCCCGTCGGAATCAACAGCCCCTACCGTGTGCGCAAGGGTACAAACACGCTCGACGACGACGCCACCGCCGACGACGACTACAACGACGACGACGGCGCACCGGACAACCGCCGTGCCCTCTCGCCGATCGGTTGCACACGAAACACCCCAAAAATAATACTTTATACATAATATACAATATGCAAACGACACATAGGCTCCCAGGTACCCGTCCATCGTCGTCGATTTCGGATTGATTGGTTTTTTTTTCCATTTCGATTTGAAAAATCTCCTCGACGCCACTATGTTATTGCTGTACCCGCCCGGCAGCCGGCCCAACAAAATATTCACAAATCACGATTTATGATATGACTATTTTAATGCGCTGAATCATCTCATGCTGGGTAGTATTAAAAAAATATTATTCAAAATCGCCCAAATGGTAAATAACGATTCTCCATTGCAACCAGTGACAACTGACAATATTATACAAATGAATCGCGATATTTCAAACAAAATCAACCTATAGTTATTTTACAAATACCAATAGAGTACAGATTAATTATTAAATCCTCACAAGACAGTAAAGCATGAGTACCTACCATAATTCGAAATCAATTATATTTGCTACATAGAAATAAAAATTTAAGAACCCCATGCCCAGAGAGAATTAGTGCTATGCCTGGATGTCAAAGTTATGGCTGTACAAAAAATATTTCAACCAATAACCCAAATGTGTTAAATTTGATAACGATAATTTTAGTTAAAACTGCAATTAACCTCTAGAATTCTAGATCAACCACCATGCGCTATGCGCAAGGGAGAGTATACGACTAACTCCAGAAAAGTACCGATACATAAAAAAATTCCAAAAAGTCAAATTCAAAGTTTAACAACACTTCAACATCTCAATTCAATAATATACCAACAACCAATATCACTACCTAGTCAAAGTCTGAAATTCACGTAATAAAATAACCATTCAAATAAATCAAATGCACAAAAAAAATAATAATAAATAATACCCGATACAATACCTAATCCTTTACTAATATCGACAATAATATATCAACAAAAATTAGTTTTCTCCCTATATAAGCTAAAAACTCTTATTAAACCATTAATCTTTCTTCTAACTAAAGTTATCAACAAGTTAATCCTTTATAATTAATGGCATAACAAATCTTTCCCATCCACTTTGCAAACATTTCTGGAATGCAAATGGTATTATACTATTATAAAACATAAAAAATTCCCTAAAAATAACATTACAAACCAAAAATATAGGTATTTCACTCATAACTGAAATATGCTTACCCATCTAATAACAACAATTTAATTATTTTGGTTATAAAACACACGTTTCTAATCTAGTGGCGTCATTTTTGGGAAGACAGGGTAGGCATTTGCCCCCTTGTCATCAGAGGGCAGCTATCGAACCGGGTATAAGCTTATGTCAGGTTAGTTTTAGTCCCCTACATGATTCATGTCATTGCTAAATAAAATTAACCATAATTCGTGGCCCGTGATCAAAGATAATACTCGTAAATAATTATAGGGTATTTGTATATTAAATATTTCTAATTTATGTATATTAGATAATAAAATAATTATAGTCTATGGCACGGTTGTAGATACCATAACATCTACTCGTTTCAATCAGCCATTGTTTGACGTTTTAATTTTATACTTTATACATAAGAAAATACCTAGGCTATTTGTATTGAGACAAAAATGTTATTGTAAATATAATGTAATGTAATTGTAACGAGTGGTTTTTTTATCAGTTGTATTATGAGCCAGTAAAATGAGCCTTGCCCCCCCCTCCCCTATAAAAACTGAAATGACGTCACTAATATAACCACGATTGGATTTACGTCAGGACAACTTCCAATGTTCCATATTCTTATCACACATGCGTCAGGACATAACAAAATACCAATTCTTATCATAATAATATTATAATTTTGTAAATTATAAGTAATAATAATTATTATTCAACATTATTTATTGGTAATCTATTAACACACCCAATATCTAACATAGAAGTTGTCTTCTAGGTTAAATTAATGCAATCATTCATACACAAAAATAACTCAAAATGCTGAAAAAATTACAAAAAAATGTTAAATGAATACTGTAACTCCCTTACATATATTCTAAAATAAATTTAACTCAAATTGAATATTTCAACCTTGTATACATAGATTCTCTCTCAAATGTTTATAAAAACTCGCAACCTAGATAAAAACAATAAAACATTTAAATCATCGTTAAACTATAACCAATTAAGGAATGTAAATAATTCTCTTAATGAACTGAACTTATATATACTTATCTAAAAGAAAACATTCAACCACACACTAACATACGTCATGTCAATGAATATTTATATATAATAGAAAACAAAATGAACTGACCTCTTCCTATGTAACTATTTCTCAAATAAGCAAATAAGCAAACTCCTCCAGAAATAGTAATTATAATTAAAATTTACCTTTCAAGTAAAACACCTGAACACATGACATAGTAACAAATCTTATCATCAAAAAACTACCAAAAAAAAGTTTTAATTGTTTAACACATATTTACAACGCTTCTCTAAGGGCCGATGAATACGTCCGTTTTTTGAAGATGTGGAGCCGAAAATGGTACAACGCAGCGGCAGTGCGGCACTACAAGACATGTGCACTACACAATTTAATAACATAGGTATTACCTACACATTATTTGCAACGCCACAGCGGTAAAAAACTGACGTGTGCATCGGTCCTACCACTCTCTTATTCAATTATTACTGGTATAAAACTAACAAAATTCCAAATGTAAAATTAAGCAAACTTCCTATATGAATCATATCCCATCATAAGAATATTTCCAAAATTAATAAACATAATATAAAATTAGTTTTTTTTTGTAATTTTATCAATACTTTTTGTAAGTAGATTGTTATTTATGTACTAAATTATCACCATAATATTATTAATATTATTACTGTTTTTATTATTATTATTATTGTTAGTATTGTTGTTGTAATTATTACTATTATTATAATTGTATTGATTTGTCTCTTTAAGTATATGTAAGTCCAACAAATGTAATAACTGTAAAAATTGTTACTGAGTTCATCCCGTTTAAATAAATATAAATAAATAAATAAAAAGAATCTACTCTATTCTAATATAAAATAATATTATTCAAGATAAACAATTTGATTTCAAATGTAAACACTCTACCACACGCCAAATACACCAATTTGTCGATGTTATTGCATCATCCATGGAAATAAACACCACCCCCAGGCCCCAGGAGTATTCTTAAACGTGGCTCAGGCTTTTTATCGTGTATGGCACACTGATTTACAACATAAACACAGATTTCTCTTAAGTCCTTACTATCTAATCATTCAATATTTTCTTAATATCCGACTTTTTAAAGACTCCTGTAATGCCAATTTTGAATCTAAAGATACAAATTGTGTACCACAGATGCATAATATATATATTATATATGCACTTACTCAATTATATAACAATTAAATTACACACCATAAATAAAATACCTGAATATACATTATTTAATTTTTTGAACAATTTATTTAAAATTATCAAAATACAAAATAATGCAGTCTTAAATATATTTAACAAGAATGCAATTTTTTTTATAAAAGTGGGGGTAACGCTGTACCGCTGTACCTACATTAGATGTTTAGAGATTAGAGGGTCACTGTAATGGATGTGTTAAATTAGAATTCTATAATAATTGTAGACAAATAACGATTGTGTGTGAAGACGGACTATAATATTACTAATTAAATTATATGATATTATTGTGATTAAAGTAATTGATTTTATTATTTGGCATCGGTTCTATAGTAGAAGGTTAAATACATTTTTGCCAAAAATATTTCATTTAAAAAAGAAATGTGTGGTGTAAACTGAATACAATATATTAATGTACTCTCGTCTCAAGTACCCACGAATAATACTTGAAAACTACAACAAATTAACTAAATCATTATTCATGGTTTTAGTATGTAATTTCTTTAAAATCTTAACTTAAAATGTCTGTACAAAATAACTGTGCTTATATATTTTTTAGATTTTTTGGTCACGGTATTAACTATTTATGAGAATCTTTGTTTTAAATTTAAAAATGTTTGCTATACAATTTGAACACATATAATTTTTTAACTCCAGAATGATTTCAAAATTTTTGAGATTTTGATGAATTTTAACTTCAAATACTTATCAAAAATCTTCAAAAATTGTCAACTGCTATTATAAATACTTATGAGAAATAGTGAATGTAATTTTCAAGCTATGTGATTCAACGAATGAAAAAATTTCAAATTTCAAATGTCTATAAATAACTCAAAACGAGTAAAAATATTTTTAAAATTGTGAAGTGTACAGAAAATTCAAATATAAAAATACAGTGAAATTTTATGTATCTACAGTATTAATTTTAAGAATTACATTACAAACCAAAATCGATTTTGCTAAAAACCAATTTTCTCAGTTTTATCTGAAACTTATGTTAGTTTTTTCTTACGCTTTTGAAAACCATTGGGAATTTTTAGTTTTGACTGACAAAAGTACCAACTAGATTCACTTTGCTATCAAGAAAGATGTTGTCAAAGAAAATCGAAGCATTCTTACTGTTCAAAAATATGATGGCAGACACAAAAATAATAATAAAAAAAAAACACCCACACACACGCCACTTTAAAATCAATACATTTCTCACTTCTCTCAGAACCCAAAATTATAGAAGAATAAGTGCATTTAAAATTATTGTTTTTTTATTTTATTTTCAATAAAAAATCCTTTACCTTTCATCTTTGGCTCGGTAGGGGTCATATTTTGAGGAGTCTGATGTTTTACTGATTAAAATATTTCATTATGTTTACATTGCATTAGCGTGGTAGAAAACGACCTTGTATCATTAGCACTTTGTAAATTTTAGTCAGCACCCTTTGTAATTTCGATAAATTCTTGTTTATATTTCACGTTTTGACTAAAATTTTATTTTAAATTCATCTTTAGCATCATTTTACTCGTTGT